GATTACCATAAACCCAGGTTGTTCTCAGCTTTCCCCTCTGCCCACCTTGGGTACAGTTTTCTCAAGTTTGCCTCCTAGCCCCCACACTTGTTCCTATTTGCTTCTCTCTTTATCCATAAGCATGAATTTTGCCTTTAAAACCCTTTTACTGGCATTCTGTGAGGTTTCAGGTTTCATAAGAGGCAAAAATAGATGTGTGTTTTCAGTGTGACATCTGTATCCAGCAATCCCTATCCTACATCTACTTATTTGCTTATTGGCTATCTTGCCTCAATAGAATACGAGCTCCACAAGAGCAGAGACCTGGTTGTTTTGGTCACTTCTATACACTCAATTCCTAGAAGAACAGCTCTGGCACAAAGCATGTACTCCAGCAATTGACAAATAAGTGGATAAATGTAAGAAGGAAATTTCCTCTAGCTCAATTTCTCTTTTGTAAGTTTTTGGATCTTCAATTCCTGAATGCATTATATTGTTCCTTCTCCTTTCACCTTAAGGACCTTCTACTTCACTGTTTTTCAATCTTTACTTTTTCCTGGTAGATCGTCTATCTTATTGACTTGTTCCAAACTCCTTTCTCTTTCTGCTACCTGGCTGTCTTCAGTCTTGTTTTCCATAAGGGAGATGTATTTTTCACTCAGTAAAGCACACTCCCTATACTTGTAGGAGCTAGGAGAACACAAAGAGGGAAGGCTAAGTCCCTAGGTTATCTGGAAAAATATAATTTAACTAACTTTCTTTTTAAAATCAAGATTCCTATTGAGATTCAAATTCAAAGTAGGTGGGGGATGGGGAAAAAGGAACGGCAAATTACCAGTTTGCCAGGAGCAGGTGAGTTAATAAGAGATCTGGGGCAAGGGAATTGGAAGGATTATTGGAAGGGAATGAGACTACGCTTCTAGACAAAGAAAAGGCAAATTAATACTCAGAGTGTTCACATTCATCCTTATTCTTTCAAGTTCTTCTCTTCTGTCTCCCTTAGTAAAAACCAGAGCCAAATAGAGAAATAAGAAATTTGGTAAGTTTTTCTTTCATTGAAACAATATATATTAAATTTTCTAGTATACTTTAGCACCAGGTGAAGAAATCATATCTGCCCTTATGAAATGAGAGTCTAGTTGGAAATTCAGACCCTAAACCAATAGACAAATAAAGTTAATATTAGCAAACAGTGTCAAGTGCCTTGAGAGAAGTGAGTAGAATTCAGTAATAGGAGATTATAAAGGACAGTTCCTTAGATGAATTGGGCAGTGAAGGCTCCTCTATGAAAGTGCATTGGACAGATTTATTGTTGTTGTTGTTCTTGTTACATCTCAAATATTTACTTTAAATTTTTCCAGCCCAAAGTAATTAAGGGCTCCCCCATATGAAGCTTTATTGTTATGTGTAATCTCATCCTCAGCTGGAGGGGTGTCCTGATTGGCTTGAGCAAATCTGGTCCCTCCCCCTTGAATTTATTTTACTGCCAAAGGGATTGGGTTAGACATGGGCATGTGATACAATTCAGACCAATGAGAGATAATGAATCCCTGAACTCCAGAAGAAAATACCATGGGAATCCCTCCTTCTTCCTCTGGAGATTAGATGTGAGGATGTGATTCTGAAATGATGGCAGTAGTTTTGTTACCATAAGAATCAGAGCTGGGGGCTGGGGCTGGGGCTAGGTAGTAGAGTGCTTGCTTTGCATGTGTGAGGTACTGGGTTCGATCCTCAGCACCACATAAAAATAAAATAAAGATATTTTTAAAAATCAGCTGTACAGAAAATGAGAGAAATGGGGATCTTCAGAAACCTAGATCAATCCTTTCTTGAAGCCATTACTATTTCTCACTCAAGAGACATATGAATAAGTAGATTCCCTTATTATTTAGGGTATTCCCAGTGGGAGTTTTTCATTTACAATCAAAACAAAATAACTAAATTCTAAAAAAAAAAAAAAAAAGACACTTAAGCAGAAGCTTGAGAAAGATACAACCCAAAGACAAGAAAAAGTCTATTCTAGACACAGAAATCAGTCCTGGAAAATTCTGAAGGGGAAAAAAAAATTGCTGTAATGCATTCAGGAATTGAAGATCCAAAAAATCACAAAATAGAAATTGAGCTGGAGGAAATTTCCTTCTTACATGTATCCACTTATTTGTCAATTGTTGGAGTCCTTGCTTTGTGTCAGAGATGTTCTTCTAGTGTAAAGGTAAAAATTCTAAGCTGATTCCAAGCTGCAAGAGCTTGAGTTAAAGTGTAAGAGACTAGGGCATTGTAAAGCTTCTAGGTTACAAGGCCTGGGCTAAAAAGTAAAAGACAATTGTTACAATTATAAAAGTCTATTGTTACAATTCCTCTGCTATCCCCGGAACCTATAATCTCTGTAAAGTTGTTAGGACAATGCTGGAACTGCCCAGTAAATATCTCCATTGATTCCCTGGTTGTTTAATAGCTAAGAGCTCTAGGTAGGAAGGCACGTAAGCATCTAGGCCCCAGAACCAATCAGTTTAAATGTGTACCCCGCTTAGAAATGACCAATCACCCCTGCCCTGATTGTTCCCGCCAATGTATGTACTAATCATGTTTCAGAATTGTTGTTCAATTTTCCCGCACCTCATGATGATTTGTTCTGATGTATGCAAAGCCCACCGCCCTCTCCAAAAAGTGTACTTAAGCTCCACCTGACCTCCGCTCTGGGCTCTGAGCCACTCTCCCTTCTTGAGTGGGCACAGAGTCCCAGCGCGCTGGAACGGATCCCTAATAAATTTCCCCCCTGCGATTGCATGAAGTGAGTCTCTTGTGTGGTCTCTCCCCTCCGACGCTTCGCTGCACCCCAACACTAGGAATTGAGTGTATAGATGTGACCAAAACACACAGGTGTCAGGAAACTAAAACTACACCCTGGTGTGGAAGACACAGAAAGAATGAGCTGAGGCTAGGTAGCAGGCAGTGGCTGGATTATGCCTCCATGGGTCATGAGAAGGAATTTGTACATTTGGGTATAAGGAAATAGGAAGTCCCATTCGGATTCATGTTTCAAAATGATGGGATTACCAAATAAGAACATGGTGGACAGAGGCAAGAGCAGAAGAAGGGTATGAAAAGGGGCTTTTGGGTTGTCCAGACAAGAGAAGATGGTTGCTTAAGAAAAGTGGGTTCCATTTTCCCACGATAGAATGGAACTCAACTTCCAGCTCTTGCTTTCTCCTCCATGGCAAAGGAGGAAATCTGGTGACATGGAAAAATATTGGTAAGGCAACCTGTTTTCTGTGTCATTGCAGTTCCACTAGAGAGTCACCCAGAAATGCAGTGAACTTTGCATAAATAAGAAATAAGAAATCTTTTTTGCGTGTTGGGCCATTGAGATTTTGAAAATGTTTGAGGATGTATCAAATTTAGCCTGGTTAATATACAAAGTGATGAGGATAAGACTAGACAGAAAAGCAAGAGCCAGAACATGGACTTGACTGTCACATGCCCTGATAACATTGGATTTCATTGTGTAGGCCTTTAAGATTAACCAAAGAATAGAGAGTGACATATCAGACCATTCTGGCAGTAGTGGGATGGATGGATGGATAGAAATGTAGTCTTGAGGCTTGGGGGCAGGGATAGCTCTTAAAATCAGAGAGAATAGAAAAGATATTGTTGAAATAGTACAGGAGAAAAAAAAGAAAGAAAAAGTATAGGAGAAAAAGTGCTTTTTGAACTAAGACAATGATGGTATGAAAGGAGCATGCACATTTGGCAGATATTTTAGGAGACTGCACAGAGGTTGTCGGTGCCTGGATATTTGGTGGGGTATAGGAGAAAGAAGACTTAGAAGTTTTGAATCCCTTAAACTTCTACTTTCTTAGTTCAACCAACTTGATTGCTCTGGGTCCAACCACTGTCAGCATTAAAAGAACCAGAAGGGAGAGCTGAAGGAGAAGTCTTCGTGGCTTCAAGGCAAAATAGAAAAATATTGTACCATGAGTCAGAGGAGCAAGGAGATCAAATCTGGTCCCTCCAACTTGAATAAATTCATTGCACTTCTCTGGACTTCAGTTTCCTCATCTGCATAAGGTGATCTTCAAACTTCAAAGAATCCCAAGGCCCATATCCGTTTTAGTGTTTCATAAATTTCAAAAAAGGAACAGGAATAGGGAAAGGAAAGGATGGGAAGAAAGTAGGTGAGGAGTCCAGCTAGGCCCAACAAGAAGAATGGAAGAATAGGGAATAGAGAAAAAATAGAATAGTGTTGGTCAAAATGAGATTCTTGGGCCCCCAAGGTCACCCAGCCACCTGGTGTCTTTTTATCTAAGCCAGGGACAGGGTGTAGATTTTATCTCAGCTTACATAGGTCATGTTTTACTTATTGGATTTGTATTTTTATATATCAATTTTATAATTGTCCCTGATTTATGAAAATGCATCATTGGTTCAAAAGATAATAAAAATAGTGATTTAAATATCAGAATTCAGGTACCCCATGCCATGGTAACTGTAAAGAGAAAGCAGATTTAAGGACAAATGAAGAGAAGTGAAGTAGTATATGCTAGGAGAAGTAAGAATATAACTGTGATCTTAAACAAGCTCACATAAATTAAAGTCTATAAGTTGAGCTTAGGAAATATGACCAGAAGCATCTAAAAACTGTTTTGTATTGGACTGGTAATGTGTTTGCCCCTAGACCTCCAGGGTGGCATCTGTTATAAAAATGTTTTCCAATAACACTAGGAAGTCATGAAAGCTTCAGTGCCATTTTCCAACAAAGCACAATGACTTCGCTGATAGGACAATAAAGTTTTTCCAGAACAAGTGCAAACATCACAAGTGTTTTCTAAAACAAAATTGATGAATTTTGTGGCTAAAGGTAATAGAGAAACCAACACTACAGAAGCATCATAAAATAAGTATAGGCCACACTATTACCAAGAAGTTGTGAAACCAGCTACGAAGGTAATGACAAATAATGTATTTGAAGAGAAAGTGGAAGAGCACAATTTCTTTATCAAAGGACATTTGTAGGTGTTACATAGTATCTGTGGTACACAACGTGGGAGAAAGGTAGTATTGTTCCTGTGTAGATATTTTACTTTATATATGGAAAAATTCAGCTCTGGTGAGGCACATATATGAAAGAGAAGATTTGATTTTTCCACTTCAAGAGTCTCTCTCTCTTTTTTTTTTAATTGCTTTATTAGCCTGGCATGGTGGCACATACCTGTAATCCCAGCACCCTGGGAGTCTGAGGCAGGAGGATCACAAGTTCAAAGCCAGCCTCAGCAACTTCGCAAGGCCCTCAATAACTTAGTAAAAACCTGTCTCAAAATAAAAATAAAAAGGAATGAGGATGTGACTCAGTGCTTAAGTGCCCCTTGGTTCAATCTCTAGTACCAAAACAATAAATAAATATATGACCTTATTGAAATATAACTTACATAGCACACAATTCATCCACATAAAGTGTATAAGTCAATGATTTTGTTATGATATATTGTTTTGTCTTGTTTTTTATATCACATTGATTTTTTTTAAATTGTGGTAAAAAATAAGTAACATGTGTGTTTTACTAGGGATTGAACCACATGGTAGGCAATGCTCTGCGCTACATTCCCCCACCCTATTTTATTTTATTTGAGACAGGGTCTCCTACTAAATTGACTCAAACTTGTGATCCTCCTTCCTCAGCCTCTTGAGTAGCTGAGATTACAGGCCTGTGCCACACGTCTACCTTCTCTTTTTCACTTAGATATAGTGTGCCACACGTCTACCTTCTCTTTTTCACTTAGATATAGTTTACTAATTGTTTATCACTGAAAACTCACACTCCAAGTGAAAATGATTGTCATTTGATCAACACATATTTTGTGAGTCATGCTATAAAGTAAAAAAAGTACTTTGGCATCAGTTTGCAGAGTGTGCACTAAGGAGGGCATTCCCAGTGAATTGAGGAGGACGTGTCTGAACAGCAGTCTATCCACAGCTTCCCTCAGAGATCAGGTGGCTATCAGCACCACACCTTTCAATCTTGATTCCATTTTGATGGTATTCCCATGGAAGTTATCTCTGAGATGCAGATTAGCATACAGGATTTTTCCTAGGGCAAGGGTTTAGGATCAATACCTGTTGAAGGAAGAGAAAGGAAGCAAGATTGGGAGATTGTGAGCTATCATACATCCTAACAAAGTCCTCAGCCAACCCCCTAGGGTGCTATGAATCTAGGGGATTCAGAGTTGACTTGATTGGAGATGAGGGGACCAGATCCTTAAACCCCTGTCACTGGTCAGTCATTGGAAATATTGTACCTTTAGCAAGAAGTTTCCTCAGTCAAGACAATTCCATGAACGGGCTGATGATTGAGAGCCACCTTCCCAAGAGCTTTCCCAGCAAGAGGAATTTAGTCCTTCAGCTCTAAAGGAGTATCTGGGACGTACATCCAATGCATTTCATCTCTTGCACTGCTCAGATCCACCTCTTTGTTTAAACTCTGGGAGAAGCTTTTGCAGGATTCCTAGAGAACGCTTGAGAGGAAAGTTAGTGAGATAAACTGTAGTCCTTATCCACTGTAGATGTCTCCAGGATGCAACTGATAATCATCATTTTATCTCTGTAACTCATCTTAGATTCCCCTCACCTTCAGCTACCACATCAGTTGGTCTCACTGGCTTACCTGTTGGCAAGACCCATTTCCTCATACTTGAGGGGTCTGAGTACCTTGTCATCATGCTCTTTTGGGGCCAGAATAGCTGTATTTGTCCATTTGCCACCAGAATTGGGCAAGAGGATTCAAAGAGGTATCCTGTGGATCACCTAGGTACTCTCATAGGCTTACTTCATCCTAATAATCAGGATAATTACCCCTGCCAAGATGTGACTCCTCTTCTTCCTGCTGATCCCTTAGCAAAAGTACTGAACCATGCAGGTAGCAGTCATAGTTCAATAGGACTCTTTGTCCCTGGAAGAAGTAAGTGTTCATGTTCCACTTCGGGAGCCAGATTTGCTCAAACATAAATTCTAGAGTTCTGGGAACGAGAAGAACAACTCTCCAGGCTTTCCCATGCACAGTCTCCATCCCTGCCATCCAGGCTGCTTTATTCATGCCTATCTGGGCAGCTGATGACAGAGGTTCCCTGATAGAAATCAGTCAAGTCCCTTTGTCTACCTGTTTGCTTAGTGCCTCTTCTATGGTGGATGCTGTCTGGTGGGCTTTAACATGAAAAAAAAAAAAAAAGAACTTCTCCCTTCTTTCCTTCTCCCACATATCAATTCACAGGCATCTACCCTGGATCTTCTAGTTTCTGTTATTCTAATCTTTCTCCTCCCAGGACCATAAATAGTCAACCAAACCATTCACCACTGATCCTGAAGGCATATATATTCTAGTCTCTGAGCTGCTTTTCCTTCCTCCCAAAGTTGTACCACTTAAAGCTCTACTCATTGAGAGCACTTTTCCTGCTCTGCTTCTATTGAGGCCACCCTGAAAAAGTCTATATACGTACAATTTCTGTATTAGTCAGACTTTTGTCCCAATGACCAAAATACCTTACAAGAATAACTTAGTGGATTAAAAGTTCATTTGGGGCTCACAGTTTCAGAGGTTCAGTCCATGGTTGGGTGACTCCATGGCTTTGGGACTGAGTAAGGCAGAACATCATGGTGGAAGGGTAAAGTAGAAGAAAGCTTTTAGCTCATGGAAGCCAGAGAGCAGATAGAATTGGAGCCAAGAAAAAAAATATTCCCAAAGGCATGCCCCCAGTGACTTCCTTCCTCTAGCCATACCCCACATGCCTATCATTACTACCCAGTAGATCATTCAAATTATTGATCCATCAAATTGTAAATCTACTGATGATGTTACAGCTCTTGTGATCTAATCTTTTCACCTCTAAACATTGGATGTTTCCAACACATGAGCTTTTCAGTAAACATATCCAAACCTTAACAACTACCATGATTCTTATCTTAAACATGCATACCAAGGCAAGCCATATGTGGACAAGTCTCAGAGTTTGTCCTTCTTCATTAACTGGTCTTAAAGGATTCTTTTGCAGTTACAGAAATAAACTGAGGAAAGTGTGCTACCATAGTCATGATAGATGACATGGGGCGCTAGACTCTGTCTCTGTAGCTTAGTTGTGTGCCTGGTTTAACTCATGCTCATCTCCTTAGGGACTGTTATTGGGCCTTCCCAACCTTAAGATTCTGGCAGAATTTAGCCCATTGTTGGTAGTTCTGCCTTCATGGTCATTTAGTGTGCTGTGATTAAGCATGAAGCCTCTACTACAGTCCACAAGATAATTTTGAAACTTATATAATTCTAACTGTAGATGGTATTATCATGCTCCAGAAATCTAAGAGTCTGTACTATAATTCTTTTATTGGGTTTATCATAAATTCACAAAGCATCTTTTTCTACCATTGATACTTCCAATAAAATAGTATCTATCTGGTCATGTAACTCAAACCTATATCTGCTCCAGGGCCCTTTCCTGCTCTGAACATCAGTGAAAATTGACATCCTTCCACATTACCCACTACATGATCTAGAGCAACATTCCCAAGTACAGAGTATAGAAGAACCAGAGTACCTTACCAAGAGTTGTAGATTGTGCTTCCTACTTTGTGGTCAAGATACATGATGAAAGGAAGGAAGGAAGGAAGGAAGGAAGGGAGGGAGGGAGGGAAGGAGGAGATACGTGATGTAATAATTTGTCCTTTACTTTTAAGGGAATATCCTGGCAGGCCTCAGAACAGGACCCCCAAAATATGTTACTGGTGTGGTAGGTTCTTTGTAGAGTTTATCTCCCACCCTCTGGAATGTGTCTCACTAAAGTATCCACAGATCTGTTTTTTTTTTTTTCTTTATCCAATCTGATCCAATCTTGTCATAGACATAGTGAAGTAAGGTAGTACTCTTTGGATGTCTGGATAGCTCAGACTATCTTAAGACAGAGAGAAGAAGAGTTAATGTAGCCCTGAGGGAAAACTATAAGGGAATACTCTTGTCCTTTTCAAGTTAGTGCAAGTCATTTTTTATCCTTTCCAATAAGATTGGAAAAGAAAGCATTAGCCAGATCAGTGACTTTGCATCATATAACGAAGGACATGATAATCTGCTCAATAAAGAAGTTGCAGTTGGGGCTACTGCTTGGTTCTTATGATCCTCATTGTTTTCTCTGAACAGAGTTCTGTAACAGCATCTCCAACTGTCAGTCGAAGGGGAAGAGAGGCACCACTGCTTCTTCAGAACCATATTTCTTGTTGCTGTGGTTATTGGTGTGCCCTCTTGAATTTTTTTTTTTTTGTATCAGTGATTGAATCTAAGGACACTTAACAACTGAGCCACATCCCCAGCCCCTTTTTAATATTTTATTTAGAGACAGGGTCCCACTAAGTTGCTTAAGGCCTCGCTAAATTCCCGAAGTTTGGCTTTGGACTCATGATTCTACTGTCTCAACCTCCTGAGTCATGCACTAGTGTGCCCAGCCTCCTGACCTTTCTGCAATACAGTCATCCTGTGAATTTTTCACCCTTCATAGCACATGCACTCTCATGTGCCCACTTTGCTGAGCTTTTTGCACTACTCCTTCTACCACCATCTGCTACAGAAATTGGGTCATTTTTGCTCCAATTGGTGTGAATGACCATTTTTTCCATTTTTCTAGAGGGCCATCCTAGCAGCATGTTTGTACCATTTTCTGGGGGTCCTCAAAGAACGTTAAAATCCTGTGTCCCAGGAGAGGGCTCACATATCAATAAGCTCTCTTTAATTGAATGAATAATCTGTTCTCCTTGTTTCTGCATTCTCACAATCCAGTCCTTCCCTGGGTCCTACAAGTTGACTCCTTCAGAGCATGACTCCTTCCCTCCCCAGGCAGGCCCAGCATGTCCTCGGCTTATGTTGTGACTTAGCCCTAGTCATTGACCTCGTGGACAAAAAAGGAGGGGAGAGTAGATTCTATGGGAAAGAGGCACGTGGTATCTAACATGGAGAAGGCTCTGCATCATCTTCAGATAAGAAGAGAATGTCAAGCCTTCCAGGGAATGTGGGCTACTTCTACAGGTTCAGAGGGTCCCAGGGATTTCAGGACAGAAGATTCTTGGATGCATCAACCCAGAAGTCCCCCTTCCCAATTCTCAGCATCCCACTCTTTTCTAATCAAGATCTTAACTTTACAATATCCGACCAGCCTTTGTTAGTTTGGTCTTCTTCGGTGCTCATCTATTTTTAAGAATTAAATCTTCAGCCTGATCCTTGCAGCTTTCTCTTCCACAGAGGAGATGAAACCCTCTTCACCTGCTGCCCTCTGAATTTCACACTTAGGTTTTATTTGCTAAGTCATCATGATTAACTTTCTGTTATCTTTTATGAGAATGGAGTTTAGTTATAGTGACCAAAATCTGTTGTCTTTAAAGTTACCATTTCTACTGTGTTTCTCAAAAGTTTAATACACTGTAGGATCTGTCTCCCATAGGTGTACCATCCCCATTCATGATTGGTAAAAGTCTTCATAATTGTGCTGCCACACTGAGCCAGCAACTATCTATATTCCACCTACCACCAGTGATGGGATCCTCATTACCACCAAACAGCTCAAAATCTAGATCCAAAAATCCCATTCCAGTGATTTTCTCCTCTTTCATGATGACGGCTATCACAGGTTGGGTTCCCCAGGATGCAGACTTGAGATACATATTAATGTGCAGGATGTTTTTCAGGACTTTTTTTTAAATCAACACCTGTGAAAAGGAAAAAAGAAAGCAGGATTGATCAGAGAGAGAATTCGAGCTGTGGTCTAGGCTTAAGCCAACCATGTGGGGAGTTCTGAAGCTGGGATGTCCCTTCAGAGATGTCCTGAGTTTGGATGAAGGGACTGGTCCTCTCTACCTCACATGGATCAATCAGCCCTGGGAGGAGGAATGAGCTTGAGTGAGGTAGTTTTCCTCAGCCAAGGCAGCCCCACAAAGGGAGGAAAGCTGAGCTCAGTTTTCAGGAGCAATTTCAGGAACATGGAGAAGGGGGTGAATCCTTCCTTCATTTCCAGAGGGGGATGGGTAGTGAATAAATACCACAGCACCCACCACCACAAAGGAAATGGTGAAAACTGGGAACAGGATGACATTGCAATCACTGATAGATAGTGACATATTTTGACTTTTATGAGGAAGGAGGTTTTGAAATGAGAGATGAGATAAAAAGTAATTTCTTCATGGCCATTTCTATGATTTCAAGTGGCTTCCTATAAGAGCATTATCTCATCAATATATGCAGCTCGAACATCCTGAACCTGCATGCCCACATGAAAAATAAGATAAAGGGATTTCTTTTAAGACTGAGCCATGTTATAAACAGCTTAAAAATGCCAAAAAATATTTTTTATTTATTACCAGAATGTAATGACTTACCTTTCTTGTTAGAAACAAACCTACTATGTATTATTTTATATATCTAAAAACATGCCTAAATGCTGCAATAAAACATAAATAAATACTTTCAGAGCCAAATGGAACTCAAGAATAGACTAGAAATCCATTTGCAGTTATCTCCTGATGTGCAGCATCCAACTATCCCTCGTCTGAGTGTGATAAGCTCATCCACAGAGTGTCTGACAGTCTCCAGAGAGAGCCCTTGCCATGGTTTCTGGATCTGTATGTGACTGAGCTACCAGGAACAAAAACGCATGGGCCTTTCCCTACAGCTTTATAATTGTGAGATATTATTTTGTAATTTAATAAAACAGAGGAAATCAAAACAATAAGAAAAGATGAAAAGAAACAAAGCAAAAATAAAGAAATTGACCTCATTCATGCCATGATCAATGACTCAAGTGGATGATTCAAACAGATTATAGATGCTTTAATGAGATTGCCAGCGGCAGCATCCATCTCATCGAAATGAGATAATTATCACTTGATTTTTAACATTGTGCTTTATTTCTGTCTTGTGACAAGCACCATTTTGTAATCAATTTGTTATAATTTGCCTAAATTGGTAGAGATGGCTCTGACACCATACACACCCCCATATGTGCGTGCGCGCACTCGCACGCGCGCGCGCGCGCGCGCGCGCGCGCACACACACACACACACACACACACACTTCTCAATACATCAACTGCAGTGAATATTTTTTTATTTCTATCATATGTTGGGGTTTCCATATAGGATATGCTTTTTCAAATGAAAAAAGTATTTATTGTTTTATTTATAGAAAATATTTACTGTTTATTGCAAGCTGCCCCTCCACTAAAATGTAAGGTCACTGAGAACAGAGACCTTGTCTCCTCACCTTGTAACCCCATCACCTAGAACAATATCAAGTACATGACACTTCCTTGCTCAATGTTTATTGCACAAGAGAATGAATAAAACCTTTACTTATCCAGCCAACCATACCCATCGGAAATGTACCTATTCATGCATCATCTGAGAAAACCAGGTTTACTAGTGAGTGAGTTAGTTTTTTAATCTATTTGGCAGATTAAGTATGGTCTGCATATTCAATATGTATTATGTAAAATGATATTCTGAAGAAAGAGTCCTAAGGTGAAGGCCCATAAGCCCAACAAACTGGTAACTGGAAGAGCCAACTTTCATCTTCATTTGCTCAGTCCTCCCAGATAATAGCATTAGGATAGCCAGAAAAAGCAAGAAAGGGGACCTGAAGCCGGCATGGCTGGGGCCTTGTTTAATCAATCCTATTAAGCCTTATGCAGCTTTCATATTTAATAGCCTCCTCCCAAATACCTCACTAACCCAACCTAAATCACTCCTTTGTATAATACAGTACATACCTGCTGCTCAATAATAGCTTCTTTTTCCTGCCCTCCTCCTGCCCAGTAGAGTTCCATTTATTATCTCTCTTTGGTTGGACCTTTCCAACAATCTTTTCATGTCCCCCCGTACACATTTTCTATAAAGCCAGCTGAGCAATTTTGACCATCCCTGGAGATTATTGACCAACCAGGCTGGGTTTGCATTTATGAGCATGTAACTGAAGCTGACACGACTCTTATCAGAATTAATAGTACTTGGAACAATTTGCCTTCGAAGCATTTTATAAACAGCTTCATACATCTAAGGGCAAGGCAGATTTTAATTAGTGTCACTAATAGCTAAGTAATCAGAGGTAAAATAATTAAGTGACAGGACCAATAGGAGAAAGGGGTAGAAGGTGAACTTGGAGTCTGCCCTTTCAAGGGGATAGACGTGTCCACTTGTCTATGGGGTGATATGGGCAAGTCTTCTGTTAGCACTGACGGCTGGCAAATTGGTTTGTTTGGGTGTAATATCATTTTGAAACACCCGGCACTTCCTTCCTCTCACCCTCTCTCTTTAGTTTCTCCTCTTATTTAATTGTAGTTGCTCTATTCTCTCAGCAAAGCAGCTGCCTGACTGGGGAAGAGGTCCACCATACAGAGTCATGGTTTACAGTTTGCTAAATGTAAGCCTGCCTAATCCTTTGGTATCATTGGATTACTCTCCCCAAGCAAATTTTCCCAGCTTTCATCATGAGAATGGGCTCCCTGCCAAGAAAGCACTCATCCCAGCTCAGATCCACCTGGGCCTTCCCGATTGTAGACTCCCCCACCCCAGGCCATTAAGAGAGCTTTCAGCCTGAATATTTGCTCAACCATTTCTGCAAGTCAAATACAAAGTCTTTGTTCCGCGGAATCACTAACCTCTGTGCAAGATTCTGTTCTGAACTGTCGCCAGGAAAAGAGAAAGAAAAAGAAAGCCTTTGATCATTTGGTCAGTTTTCACCTAATTTCATCTAATTATATTTAAAATGAATTTATAGTCTATTTAAATAAGTTTAAATAGTAACCAAGTTAAGATCAGAGAGTTTAAAGAAAATCATGCACCTATGCGGATGAATGTCACTCTACAGGTGGCTGCATTTGGAAAGTAAGTAAAAGCTTTCTGAAATTCCTGAACGCTTCATGAACGCTGTATCAATTAAAGCTTTAACCGATTAAAAAAAAAAATGTTCATGGTCATTTGCTGCCTAATTCCCTCCACAAGCTAAGAGAAGGGGACCTTCTTAGATTTCAAAGGGAAAGGGTTCTTTGTGATGGCAAAACAGAACAAGGAGCTTGAGTCACACACACACACACACACACACACACACACACACACACACACATCTCTGTCAGTCATGTCTAACATTCCCAGTACGTATAAACTCTCTCTTGGAGCCAAGACAATAACACCTTGCCATTGAATCTCTGATTTTGATCCCTCCATAGCTAAACTTTAACAACTGTAAGCAAGCAATTGGGGAAGAAGGGTTGGTAAAGAGCTGCTTTCAGAATCAAGTACCCAGACTCAAAGAATTTAAGGATCTAAGGGGCACATTCATTGCACAGGCAAACAACAAAAATTACTCCTTGAACACTGAATCTGTTTAAAGTATTATGAAAATCAAAGATTCCTCTATACATTTTCCACTTGTATGCAAAAATTCTGGAGCCTGAGTGAGGAAGCATTCAATGTGTTAAATGTGCACTAAGTAGCAAAACATTGGGTGGATTTCTATAACACTGTCTTAGTACTCCTTTATTCATGGAGATTGCAGATGCCTGAAACCCTAGATAGTATCAAGACCTATATGTCCATGTTTTCTCCTATATGTACATACATAGGATAACATTTACTTTATAAATTAGGCACAGTAAGAAATTAACAACTAATAAAATTGAATAATTATAACAATACACCGTAATACATTTTTTTGTAAATGTGATCTCTCTCAAAATAAAATTTTTGTTTTTATTTTTGAGAATATATGTGGTCTTTGTTCTGTACACTATGCCTGGCTTTATCATGTGCCCTGCCATGTTGCCACATGTTTACCAGAGTTAATCTGTCCTTTCATGTTTTGTGCCCCAATGTTTCCTTTATACTTTTATGAAAGTAGAATCTATTAGGCATCTTCTTCCAGAAGAGCCCACTTTTAAGACAATTGAAGACTTGTTCTGAACAGTGTCCTCTCTCTTTCAACTTCTTCAGCTCTGTTGGAAATACAGCAACAGCTTCTTCAATGGCAGATACAGTTTCTCCAGTCATTTTCTTATTTTTCAATCCACACCTATTCCTGAATCTGTGTAACCATTGCTTTTTGCATTAAAAGGCACTCATTTCAGAGGATCCCTTGCTGAACACTTCATATAGGCTCAATGCTTTCTGACACACAACACATTGCTGTCAATCAGAGCATATTTTCTGTTCACGTCTTTCACCACGAATTTAAAGCCTCTTCCACCTGAAGCACTTATTATGCCCTGTGGCTATAACTTTGCCATTTTGAGGTCCAACAGCCAAACTAGCACAGATTTCTTTTTCCTTCATAGTTTCACAGACAGAAGATTCATTCTTACTTCAAATTTTAGCAACCTCCGCATAAGACTTTTTATTCCCCTGAGTGGAGAACTATCCCCACTATCCCCAAGGAAGCACTTTACAGCTCCTCTTTGATATATCAGAATTACCAGCATCGCTACTCTTTTGTTTGGAAACCACTATTAATAAAGTACAGGTTACTAAAATTTCAAGCACTGCAATACAATACAGTCAATCTGATAACTGAGATGACTACTAAGTGGCTAACAGGTAGATAATGTATACAGCCTGGATACCTGGATACACCAGACAGAGAACAATTCATGCTCTGGGCAGGCAGAATTGCATGGTATGAGATTTCATCACACTACTCAGAATGGCACACAATTTAAAACTTT